GCTGCTGCTGCTGCTGCCCGCTGCTGCTGCTGCCCGCTGCTGCTCCTGCCCGCTGCTGCTGCTGCCCGCTGCTGCTGCTGCTGCTGCTGCCCGCTGCTGCCCCTGCTGCTGCTGCCCCTGCTGCTGCTGCTCCTTCTCCTGCTCCTCCTCCTGCTGCTGCTCCTTCTCCTGCTGCTGCTGCTGCTGCTGCTGCCGATGTGCTGCTGCTGCCGATGTGCTGCTGCTGCTGCTCTTTCCCCCTCATCTTGCATATTCTCAGTTCTTCACACAGGTCAAGGGATCGTCCGGCTTCGTCAACCAGCTCATAAGCTCGCAGAGGCAGAGCACCAAGGTCAACCCCTTCACCTGCTCCTGCCCGCTGCTGTTGCTGCCGATGTGCTGGTGCTGGTGTATCCTGATCATCCTCCTCTCTGCTCCTCCCCCACATCTTGGACTTCATTTCACTGTCTCTTGACCTCTTTTTCTCCGCTCCTCCCCTGTTACAATCTCCTCATCGCCCCCTTCTCCTGCTCTGCTCTGCTCTGCTCTGCTCTCTCCCCTCCTCTGACTGATCTTGCTAGGCTGTCGGCAACCCTCACATGCAGACTCAAGGGAAAGGCGCTGACCTTAACTTCCGCGAAACCCTCGGTAACTCTCCTTTTCTTTCCTCTCCCAACCTCCTCCTCCTTTAGCTCTGTATTCTCCTCCTTTCTTCATCGCTCCCTCCTCTTCTCTTCTCTTCATTCTCCCCCTCTTCCTCCTCCATCATGGCCGCAACTCATCTTCTTCCCTCAGAGCCCTTCTGGTGGTCAGAAAACAACTACAAGAACTCACAGGTTCCTTCCTCTCTCCCATACACTGAATCCTCTTCCTCCTCTCTTCCCTCCTCCCTTCACTTCTTCTCTCCTCTTCTGTGCTCTCCTCCAGCTCAACCTCTTCTCTTCAGCACTACGACCGTGTCATGGAGGCAAACGCGAAGCGGGAAGCTGCTCAGCTTGGAGGAGGTATCATGCTGATCTTGAATTGCTCGTTCACTGACTTTCCCCCCTCCTCTCTTTAACAACCTCCCTCCTCCCATTGCTACTCGGGCTCCCTGCTATTCTCTGCCATTCTCCTCCTCCTCTTCCTCCTCCTCCTCCTCCTCCCCCCGCCCCCAGGCTCCCACAGCTCGACCGTGGGCACCTTCAAGTTCGACGACTACAATGTCCCAAGGTAGACTCCTTTTCTCGTCCACCTTTTACACTCAATCCTTTCCTCCCTCCCGTCTCTCAGCATCTCCGACCTCCACTGCCTTCTTTCTTCTTCCTCCCCCTCCACTCCTCCCCCCTCCCGCAGTCTCTTCCTGAACCTTCGCAGGACCTTCGAGCAGAGGTCGGTGCTCAACGGGGAATTTCAGACGCTCTACGGGAAGGGCAAGAGATGTACAGTCGAGAAACATTGAAACTTATTATCATGTCAACTCCTACCTACTCCCTCCTCCCTCCCCCCCTCTCCCTCCCTCCCCTTATACTCATAACTTTCGCTCTTTCCCTCCTCTCTCCTTCTCCCTTCTCCTCCTCCTCCTCCTCCTTCCCAGTCCTCCCCAACTCTCTTTCCTTAGACGAGAACTCTGGAGCCTACTCGAACCTGGTCCTAAAGACCCGTTTGCTGCAACCCGACCTGATACAAACATTTGCGAAGGGTGTCGAGGGTCCAATCTTGAAAGTTGCATCCTCTGAGATCCACAGGTATGCCTTCTCCCCTACCATCCCCTCGAACACACTCTCCTGCCATGGTTCAATCCTTTGCACGTTACAGGGGACCGATTTGACGTCCCAACAGGCGCCAGCCCTCTCTCCACTCCTGATCAGACTTGTTCCGAGCTCTCTCAGTAGCCTCGCTGCCTTCTCGTCGCACACAGCTGCCCATATCACCGACTTTGCAGCATTCCTGATAGAAATCGTGTGGCGCGGGTAGAACCTCCCGCCATTGACCTCGGTTGGCTCTGCTTGCGACAGAATGAACCATTGCTCCCTTTCTGTTGTCATCTGATTCATCTTCCTGGTTATTTGATTCATCTCAGCCATGATCTCCTCCTCCTCCTCCTCCTCCTCCTCCTCCTCCTCCTCCTCCTCCTCCTCCATGTCCATCTCCATCGCCATCTCCATCTCACTCAATTGCGACCACCGGGGCCCGGATACTTTTGCGGATACTTTTGCGGATACTGAGTTTTTACGATAATCAAAAAAGAACATTTGCAAATAAAGTCAACGATCACC